GCTAGAGGACATGATTTTGTGTTTGGTTGTTAATCTCTCTTTTAATCATCAGACATTTCAATTTTCCATTGTCAGATCAAGAGAGAAAGAGACCTAATATTCTCTCGTTATTTAAGCCCAAAAATGATAATTCTTCATCATCTTGGGCTTCATCAACCGCAAGAAACACTGTTGAAAGTAATCCGGTCATTTCCAATGAGGATCCCCAATGCGCTTCTAAATCTCCAAGAATTGATTTTGATGAAACTTGTCTTGAACGAGATCCTGGATTACGTATTCTTTTGTTGCGACATCTCGTTAATCGTCGTAGCCAGGAAAATAAATCACCCTGGACTAATCAACTTGATTAAAAATTAAAAAATAAAATAAAATAAAAAATGTCTTGCTTATGTTTAAAATACTTGTTTTGCTTTATTGTTTTATTCTATATTTCTATTTCTTCGAGGCAATATAATTGAATATTTTTTTTAATGATCTTGATTGATTTACATGTTTTTTTTTTTCAAAATACTTATGAATTTTAGAAAAGTAAAATTTGATTGGAGAATAAAAATAAGTAAAGTTTGTTTCAATAATAAAAAAATTGTAAAAAAAAAATAATAAAAGATTTAAATTGAGTAATATTTTAATCAAAATCTACTATCAAATTACCTAATGGATTTAGCTCCAATTTTCCACACATAATTTTTGATTCATTCTTCATTTATCATATGTTTTTTTTCGATTTTACTTTTTTTCTTTTTGGACTTTGCATTATGTTTTCATCTTTTATTATTTTTTACGGTGCCAATGCTAATTTAAAGTAAATTAATTTTATGTGATAACAAATTCATATAGTTCTTGCAAAATGGGTTTACAGGAATATTAAATATATTTATTCAAATCCAAAACATAATTAAGAGTAAGAAACACTATTAATAAATTATCAACTATGAACTTTGAACTTATATGCGACTTAGTTAGAATTTATATTATCTCAAACTTATATATATAAATAAAACGAGCAAAAAACTACCTCCGCTGGAGCCCACCCCCGAGTATGGGTGGCTCCGCCCCTGTTTTCAACCACACAGAAACAAAATTAAATTACTCATGCATGTAATTAACATAGTTTTTTTTTTTTTTTTT